TTCATATTTAATTATTTTAATAAGGAAATTTATTAACTCTATTGGTTGTCTAGAGCCCAATTACTATCTGTTAATTGTGTGTGTTGTTTATTATTATTTGAATCCATTTTTAGCTTGTTTTCTAATGATTCCATACAACTCATTATTGAGTTCATTGTAGATAAAATTTTTTCTATTGATATAGTTTTGTTTGATTTGTCAGGTGTTTTATTATTGCTAATCTCTTGTTCTTCTTCTTCGACCCCCATATTTTCATCTTCATCTTCCTCTAATTCGTCATCTTCGTATTGTTGTTGCATTGTTTTCCATAGATGATTTTTGATTCTATCTAGACGTGTGTTAATATCTATTAACATGTTTTCAATTTTTTCTAATCTATCTTCTTCTACTTTGTTATCACTTTTAATATTACGATTATTATTTCTATCATCTTTTCTAAATGGTTTATTTTTAGTAACCTCTGCGTATGTTTTACCACCTATCTGTTTATTAATGGTATTATAGAATCTTGAATTGAATCGTTTATAAATCGGTCCGAATTTATCTAATCTATCTACGTTTTTCTCTTTAATTTCGTTATCCTTTAATTTTTGTGAACAGTCAATAACCAAATGGTCTGTAGCATGACAACGGTGACATGTTTTGGTTTGTATATCAACAATTCTAATATTAAATTCTTCAAATTTCCAGGAAACATTTAAGAAGTTTCTACATGTTTCGTGGTCTTTAAACAAAACAATTGCTTCATTTTTCCATCTATATGTTCTTGTTCTTGATATATAATATATTCTCGCTCCAATTTTTTCTACATAAGGCCATAACTCACATGCTGTTATACTATTGGGTAGACCGATAATTCTGGTTACATGTTCTCCTCTAGATTTGAAATTATCAGCTGTTTGATCTATTTGTGTAACTCTCAAGGAGTCTTCTTCAATTATAATGCTCCATTTTTCCATGACTTTTTTTACATCTTCTTTTTCTTTAAAAATAGCAACTGCAGATTGCCACATATTATTGACTCTCATGGTTAGTCTTTCTATTTCACCATATTTATTTTCTAGGTCTTCTTTGAGTTCTTTGTTTTTCATTCCCAGTGGCACGTCCCACAGTTTCACACCATGCATTAGCTCCTTAACTGGATTTCTTCTGAAAATTTCAGCTTTATGTATGTAGGTAGGCTTTCCTACATTTCCTTCCACATCACATTGCTTGCCCTTTTCCATTTCTTTTTCATTGTCATATAATACAGAAATCATTCTATTGTCTTTGAATACTTCAGTTTTTACCAGGACAACTACTGTTTCTTTTTTTAAAATTTTTCTAACTTTTTCTACTTTTTCACTGATATTTTCCCCATGATTTTTCCTGCGTAAGTTCAGATTTTATATTTTTTTGCGTTGAAGTTACTGCGCCATTCAGACTGGTAGTCGTTTTCTGTTTGGTATGAGTCAATTGATTCAGTTTCTTCTTTTTCTTCGTTATTTTCTTTATTGTTATTTTTGTTGATACTTTCATATTTTGTTTTCCTTTTATTATTAGTTACTCTTCTCCACCCTTGGTTGTTATTTTCTTTCCCATTTACAATATATTCTTGTAATTCGTTATTTCTACTTTCGATTTCTTCTATAACTTCTATGTTTGTATTGACGTTATCTTCTATAATTTTTTCATTTGTTAATATTACTATCTGTAGGTTTATCTTACTTCCCAATACTTCAGTATTTGTTTCTTCCATTGGTATATTGTTTCTCTTGTTATTGCTTTTCTTGTCTGGTTTTGCCTTTTTCATTGTTGGGTTAAATTTAACTTTACCAATAACATTTGACTTCAGGACTGAGTTGTCCTTATTTTTTTGGCCCTGGTATTTGAGCTAACGTTCATATTATTAAGTGTGTCCGCTTATTATTAAAGGACAAATGAATGAAATTTGAATAAAATAAAATAAAAATAAAAATTTAAAAACTATTTTCGATAAAAGAATTTTTACTGCAGTTTTGTTGCAAAATTATTTGTTTTGGAAAGAGTTTTTTTTTTTGTATTAATTAATAATAAATATATTTAGTAAATTATAGTAATTAATGATAATAGTGCACAGTAAGGCACAGTAAGGCACAGTAGGCACAGCAATGGCACAGTAATGAAGATCATTAGATTTAGA